TCTTCGTCGTGCCCTGGAAGTTCATCTCGGGCAACCGCGGCAGCCAGCAGCCACCGCCACCGCCGCCGCCGCCGCCGCCGCCGCCGCCCCCGTCCGAGTTCCCGCAGCTGCCGCAGCCGCCCAAGCTGGGCGGCGAGGCCGGCCCCGCCAGCACGCGCTACTCGAAGCGCTCCACGGGCCTGACGACGCTCGACGAGACGCAGTTCACGACGTACAACAACCTCGTCGGCCGCTCCAACCCCAAGAAGCCCGTGGCGTTTGACAACCCTTATTTCCAGAAGGACGAGTGGAAATAGGGTGGGAGCCATTTGTGACAAGGGGGAGTGTGGCTGTTGCCAAAGATGCCGCCAGCCTCGGTAGCCAGAAAACAGTCTTGATCTTCTGATACCAGAAGCAAACCTCACAGCGATTTCCTCATCATGCACACTATGGTGTCCTAGTCCTTACCATTCACTTTATTCCCCTGTACGCTCGTTTCCACACAAACAGCTTCTCGGTGTTTCTGGCTTCTGTCTTTTGTTCCGAGGCCGTTGATCCCGGGGAGCCTCTATACCCTTACATAAAAAAACCCCCGTCCGGCAAGAAATAGATTTTCCTTTGGCCAACGGAGCGGTATTGGTGTAGCCTCCTCTTCCCATATATGGATAGGGTAATGTGTTATTTGATGTTTTTAATGCGACGCGAAACGAGATGCAGTGTTTTTGCCAGGCCCACGCATGAACTTGTTGGATGCTTTTCCCTTGGCATTGTTACGACGATTCGGCAGTGAAAAAAAAAAATGAAAAAAGAAAGAGAAGCAAGGAAAAAGGAAGGGGATCAGTGGCAGACACGCCCTCCGGAATCCTTGACTCGGCCGCGGTCCCGAAAAAAAGAGGCCGGTTTCAGAAGCAGTAGGGGGGGCTTGTGATTGGGTTCGGCCGCAGCGGGCGTGGGTATGTCGGGGGACGGAGACACCGCGAGCGTGCCGGCTAATTACAGGAATTACTCGTTGCGGCATCATGGGGGGGGGAAAAAAGTCTCCTCGCTATGGGAGATCAGAGGGGAAAAGAATCGCATTCGAAGCTAAGAACACCAGGGGCGGAGGGGACAGGACCAAGTCATGGTTGTATGTTCATGTTTCTGTATGTACCTAGGGAGGTTGTTTATGGGCGTCTGCTCCAGCCGAGAAAAAGAATATGTACAAGAGGCTTTCTTTGAACAGTAGCACCAACCCCCTCCCATCCATCACCGCAGCCCCTTCCCAACCCCGATTGGCCCATGGCCAGTCGTGGGCTGCTGCACAAAAAAGACCAGCCGAGCAAGTGACCCAGTTGGATGTGGTGGGACTTCCTCGGCCCTCTCCCTTCCCTTTCAGTACACTACATCTGTAGTAGGCAGCTCGCGCGCTTTGGGCTGCAAGTTTAAGCAGACGGGTTGCCGTTGAAGGCAAGCTTGTTGACGGTGCCCGAGGGGATGCCCGAGATGCGGCCGTTCTGGGCGGTGGACGCGATGTAGTCGCACAGGGCAGTTCCGCTGCGGGGGCCCAGGAAGCTCAGGAGGTAGGCGCCAAGGCCGGCAATGTGGGGCGAGGCCATGCTGGTGCCCGAGATGGTGTTCTGAACGGCGCGTCATTGTTAGCGGCGGCTCGTCTGCTAGCATCAAAACCCGCGCGGGTATGGAGCAAGGGTCACTTACGGTGGCGGAGTTGCTGCTGCCGATCCAGGAGCTCAGGACGCTGGTGCCGGGGGCCCAGACGTCGACGACGGCGCCGTAGTTGGAGAAGCTGGAGCGGGCGTCGGTCGAGGTGGTGGCGCCGACGGTGCAGGCGAGGGGCTCGTTGGCGGGCGAGGTGTTGGCAGCGTTGGTGTTGTCGTTGCCGGCGGCGACGGCCAGGAAGTGGCCGGCGTTGACAACGGCGCGGGCGGCGGCGTTGAGGGCGGCGCTGTTGCCACCACCCAGGCTCATGTTGACAACGACGCCCTTGGGACAGCTGCGGCGGGGCGCGTCGGTGACGACGTAGTTGAGGCCGCCAACGACGCTGGCAGTGCTGCCACTGCCGCTGGCGTTGAGGACCTTGACGGCGTACAGGCTCGCAGCCTTGGCGACGCCGTACTTGGTGCCTAGAGGGTAGCGTGTTAGCTCACGTGTGATTTTGGTGTGTGGTGGAGAGGCATGTAGGCTTACCAGCGACGGTGCCGGAAACGTGGGTGCCGTGGCCGTTGCCGTCGGTGTTGCTGCTGTCGATGGTGCTGCACACACATGTTAGCAGGAGGGGCGGTGCCAAGGGCTTGCCATCATGGGCAATGAGATAGGGCCTGGAGGTCTATCTTACTTGGTGGCCCAGGTGGCACGTCCGCCAAAGTCAGAGTGGGAGACCAGGATGCCAGTATCCACAATGTAGGCGCAGACTCCGCTGCCGGCCGAGCTGTCGTAGGTGTAGCTGGTCGAGCCAGTGCCACTGCTGGACAGGCGGGCAATACCCCAAGGAGCACTGGTCTGGGTGGTGTAGGCGTTGATGTTCACCTCGGCGTTCTCCTCAATGTAGTCAACCTGGAAGATTTTGTCAGCGCGAGACCCAGTCAGCTGAGGAAGGCCATGTGTTGACTTACCTCCGGGGAGCTCTCAAGGGCCTTGAGCTCATCGGCACTGAGGGTGGCAGCGAAACCATTGAGGGCGTCGAAGTCGTGGGTCTTCTCGACGCTCGACAGGAGCGTGGTAAACTCCTCGCTGAAGGCCGTAACACCGCCATCCTTGAGCATGACAATGTAGGAGCCGGGGATGGGCGTGCCGGAGCGGGCCTTCAGGACGGGGGCGGCTGCAGCCAGGGAGAGGAACGACAGGAAGGCGACGGAACGCATATTGGCGGCAGGGGTGAAGATGATCGACAAGACGGGAAGTCAGGGGTCGTTGAGCAAAGAGGGCAACGGGGGCTGAAGCTCCGGTTTGGCAGCGGTGACAAGTCTTGGGAACGAAGATCAAGGCCGGGAAGGGGATCTTGGCTGCTGGAGAGTAAATTAAGATAGATGAAGCGGCGGGATCCTGTCACTATTTATGATCGTCGGTCGCCCTTCCTTGGACGTCTGCGTCGGACAATAGCGATGCTATCCTGAGCACCCTGTCTCTGCCCAAGACCCCATCACCTTCCCAACATAGTTGTCAGGCCCGCGCGAGCGTCCACACGCTGCCGACGAGGATATCGTCCTTCCCGACCGGACATAGCGTCCTTAGTCGCTGGCGGAGGTCGTAGCTGGGACGGGGGCGGCAGGCAGGGATCAACTCGGCTGTTGATTGGGCGAGGGCTATACGCTGCCAGGAATTCGCGCGAGACACCTTGATAGGGCCGTACTCTCTTCGATCGAGTGCAAAAAGGACGGGTGCCGCCGTGGGGGCTGCGCGGATGACGACGGGGAAAGGCGGGCAGGCTGCAGTCGGCATAGTCGAGCCGAGGAGAGACTATCGACCCGTGAAGCCCAGCGGGGAAATATGTGGTGCTGATCTCGTTCTGGGGGCTGGCTGGTAGCTCTTGGCAGGCAGGCGTTGTTATATTGGAGTTGGTCCAGGATGGCAGGTGGTCAGGGACGCCGCGCCGCCTTGGTCGACTACCTCGTCCTCGGGCTGTCCTCAGGGTCACATCGAGTCTCGGGGCGCGTGATCAAAGGAGAAGGTCGCGGCCTCGAGGGAGGGAAGATGCGGTTGCAGTGCAGCAGAGGAGGTGGGAAGGCAGAGGGGAAGGCAAGGGGAAGGCAGAGGCAGGCAGAGCACGAAAGAGTGTCAGTGGCATGGGGATGCCGGGCAAGGGGACTGGCCATTTGAGCTGGGTGGGTATTTTGATCGGGTGGTGGGCGCGTAGGCGCAAGTTTGTGTTGGTTGGAGGATTCGGTCCCTGCAGTCCATCGACCCCTTTGGCTCGCGGCTTGACGAGAGCTCGCACTTTCGCCGGGGAAGAGCGAGCAATTCGGAGCGGCGCTGCAATTCTCTAGCTACGGTTGATTTGCTCCGGCTTGTTGTCGTCGCCAATATGGCTCCAGCAGCGCTATCTTGGAACGAGCTCTGGATAGCTCGCACTGCTATCCGCCGGCCCCGCCAACCCCTCGAGATATTGCCGATATGCGTCTCGGCGATAAGGACCCGGACAGCGGGTCGTAGGGGACTGCCCTGGCTAGTGACGCTAGCGGCCATCTTTGGAGGCGGCAGAAGTGCCGCGCCGGGCAGGCGAGCGAGTTGGGCACAGCGAGAGCTGGGCAGGGGATCAGATCTAGGCACAAGGGTCAAGGGTGTGGCGTTGGATTGGGGCGGCCAATCATGGGTCAACCGCGATCGGTGGGGCTTGCGCATGGCCTCCATCGCGGCGGGGCAACTGCCGGCGGCGGGCACGCAATTGCCTGCCTGCCACTCAGCTCCTACCCGCCCAAGATAAGCACCGACACAAACGCCCCGTAGCAGCCAGAAATCGCGATTTGCTCAAGCGAACATGAACCGAGCTCTTGTCCCGTTATTGACCTACCTGAATTTTTTTTTGGCGAGAACGAGCCTCTACGGCAATGGGGGTTAGCTAATGACGGGATAGCCATCAGCGTATCCTCCGCTATCAGCCCGCATTGTCCCTCCCCTCCCACCCCACCATGGTCGCATTCGAGGTGGCTTGTGTGCGATGCTTGCACCAAACAGACGCAAAATAACGTGCTCCCAGCTTGCCAACAGGGTCCCCGAAGCTTGCCCTCCTTGCCTCGACTAGCACCCAAGACTCGTCAGCACAGAACACAGCCCCTCTTGTTGGGCTGCCGTGAGTGGCTCAGTGGTTACGCCTTTGCAGGGATCGCATAGATTAGGAGAACCAAGCCTTCCAAGTCGCCTCCCTTCCGCGCCGGATCTTGGTCACAATGCCAGGCTGCTATCAGGAAGCCAAAGGGGCTTTATTTACGTCCTTCCTCTTTTGGAATCGAGTGCGCACTTTTGTGCCACAATAGTGCGACAACCCAACACTGCAGAAGCATCAATCAGCAGGGTCAGCACCCAGTCAGCTGCGATGCGGACAAGGGCTGTATCATACAGCCTGCATGTCCCGGGATAAGTGGTCCTTGACCAGTCAACTTTCCGCAAATCCCAGTCGGCGACATCAGATGACCGCCCGCCCAAGACAAGCAAACTACCCTGCTGCCGCTACTTCGCCAGAGACAGGCGAATGCATCCCCGTCTCCCGAGACCGCGACCACGAACCATGATATCGGCGGGGAAACTCGCTCTATCTCTCCCCCGCCTCATTGCGTGATGGGCCCGATCGAATCGCCTGCAGCACCCCCTGTTCCGCCCCCCGGCGTTGCCATTCTCCATCCCACAGAGTACCAAGCTTGGTCATCGGGACCACCACACCAACTGCGTCCCTAGCAACTCCCCGGACCATTTCCTATCCCAATAATCACCTCGCAAAAATGGACTACCGCTGATGCCGAGACTAGTGCCAACCACTGCCAAAGATGGCCGGCTACCAACACGCCGCATCTCCACGTTGTCGGCCACGTCTCCCTGATTCTCATTCCGGCGGTTTCTCGGTATCAGCTCCTCCGGCGGCACGTATTTCGCTCCACGGGTCCCCACGGTGCAGTACGTACAGAAGTCCCTAGCGCCGGTCTTAGCCTGCCACACCACTTCGGGTCCAATGAGCGGCAAAAGCAGCACACCACGACTCCTACAGTGCAACCCTACATGACACGCCCACCCGCGCACGGGTCTCCACCAATCCATAGGCCGCCGTGGATGCTATCTCTCGTCTCTCTTGCGGGCCCCGATCTGCCACCCCGGGGAGCCGGCCACATTGGCGAGCTTCTTTAGCTTGCTGCCGATCTTCGCACCCTTTAGAACCAATATTCATTACCCCTGCTCATCTTCCAAGGCTTTAGGCCTCGAACCTTCCAGACGCCGCTTCAGGCACAGGCATGCAGAGCAACCCAATCTTGGCGATACGAACGACATGCTATGTTTAGCCTTCGGTGTGCAGACCAAGACTGCGGTAGCGGCCTTCCTGTTTGAATAGGTAAGTGCCCATTCGGGGCGAGGAAGGAGGCCGGGAAAAGGCCGCATGTAGCCGCCCACCCAAGTGCGACAGTGATGTGATTCTGTCAAGCCTGATGATGTTTGCCTTTGTTAGGCCAGATCCTGGGAGACTCTCCTCAGGAGCTACTGCACTCTCACCTCCCTTTTCTGGCTGCCCAGACTAGAGCTCTCCACAACTCTGCTGCCAGCTTCCTATTTGTAATTGAGATAACAAAGTAGAGAGCTTCCATACCTCGGTAGCAAATGAAGACGGTAGATAGAGTAATACTATTTCGAACTGACGCCGCGAGTCCGTTGACTGAAGGCGTGTATAAGCGCGGGCTGGTGCCATCTTCTCGGGTCGCAAGAGAGCAGCACTCTCTTTCACACCATGTTCACCGGCTAACTACAGGAATCGACATGGGACTCCATGTTACAAGGGGATCTGGGATCGGCTTGGAGAGTGCTCAATATATTGATAATTCTTCAAGGCCTCTAGGAGATGCTTAAGGAAGCAGAATCTTCAGTGAAGACTTTGAGAGATAAGCCCTCCTTTTATAAACCATTTGGCCCTTACGAGAAGGGTACGTACTTGGGGTCGAAGGGAACAAACCTCCCTTCGACCGGGCGCGTAATGCATGCGGGGTCCTTGTAACCTTTCCAGCCGGCCCAACCAACGCCCAATTCCCTATCGCTATTTTGTAATTCGCCCTGTTGGCCGTCCAATCGGTCCTATTGGGTCGTTGGCTTAATCCCCGTATAATACAATCCCCTTTTTTTTAAGGGTACGCCCCGGGCCTTAAACGCGTAAATCCCGGGCCTTCCGAAGGTATCGGCGATAAAAATCCTTAACCTTTTTTTTGGCCGCTTTTCTTTTAAAGTTTTTCCATAGCTTTTATATTATTTCGCCCTTTTTGTTAAAGCCTAGCTATTTAACGAAGTATTGCATTAAGCTTTTTTTTTAACGAAAGTCCTTAATTTCCTTTATTTTAAATACATCCAGCAAAAGTAATGCGTTTTTTAAAACCTGCTTCGGGTTAAACCGTGCTTAAATGCCGGCCCGGTATGGTTCGATAAAGGATGCGTAAAAGGTAAAGTGGATTTTCCATAAAGGTAAAAATACAAATCGGATTGCAAAAGGCAAAACGATTTGGGTAATTTAAAAAGGGCCGAAAAATTTGGAATCGAATTTTTTAATAAAGCGTTGGGTTTTAATGTTTTTAGCGTTTAGCATAACGTATTGTTTTTCCGTAAAAACGGGCAAAGTTTGTCGCTTTTTGTTTGCCCACTTTTTTATTCGTTTTTGGGCGGCGTTAAAATGCTATTTAGTTTTATTGTAAATGCCGTGCATTTAATAAGCATAAAATTTGCTAACGGGATAAGGCTTCGTACGTTTTGGCTTTAAAGGGTTATATGCGGTTGGTTCGAACCCGTAATTAACGAAAAATGGGGAAATTGTAATATTTATTAACGAGGTATTATTGTAAGCAAATTTTGTTATTGGCAATAAGTTTACCCAATTAAACATTTTATAATTAACAAAAGATTGTAAATAAATTTCGAAATTTTGGTTAAATCGTTTAATTTGCCCGTTTGTTTGTAGGTAAAAAGTAATGCTTATCCGGGGTTTAATCCTTACGAAGCTAAAAAAGTCCTGTTACAAATATGCAATAAATCGTAAATTTCGGTTTAAAATAATGTTTAATGGGATTTCGTAAAATTTTTAGTATTTTCGGGCAAAAATGCGGATAAGGTTATTTATTTTTTTTGTTCCTTTTTTAAAGGGATAAAATGGCCCATTTTGGTAAATGGGTTTATTATAACCCAAATGGAATTGCAGCTTTGGCTATTCGGTAAGTTTGTAATAAAGTTTATAGCGATAATGTTTTAAAAGCGGTAATGCAATTTTATAAATTGGAATAGCCCGAAAGGAGCGTATTTAGGTATTTTATTGCGTTAGCATTCGAAATAGCTTTTTACGTAATTTCGAACGTTTTTTTTAATGCTTGGCTACCAAAAGTAACGGGTAATTAATTTTAGGGTTTTGTTTATGCTTATGTATTCGGCGACTTTGGTATCGTGCTCGGATTTTAAAATTTCGCGTTTAAATTTTAGCTATGCTAGGACCCATAATTTATTGCGGTGGTACAAAAGCCCGTTGCTAACTTTTTTCCCTTTGTAGGAAGTTTTTAAGTGCTTTTGGTATTTGGTATTAAATGTGGCGGTTTGTTTAATTTTAATTGTAAATGCCGGATTTTAGCGCATGGTTGGGATGCTGCATAATTTTACCGAGGTTAAAAGGAATAAAAGTGCTTGTAAGGAAAGGTTAAAGTGTTTTTTTTAAAAAACCGTTGTAATTGGCTGGTTTTTACTTTCCTTTTTTTTAGGTTTGTATTGCTCGAGTTTGGAAAGCATATCGGCCTTTTCATTTTATTTGCTTGGGCGGTATGTAATTAAAAATTAGTAGCTTAAAAGTTATTGGGCCCATTTTGCTTATTTTTGGTTAAGGATTTTGGCCGTAGTAAAGTAAGCTAGGTTTTGGTGGTCCGTAAAAATTTCGATTTTGTATTGGGCCCTTTCGAAGTAATGCTTCCATTTGTTAAAATTATTTACAATGGCGAATAGCTTTTTATCGTAAATTTTGTAATTAATTTTTGTTGGTATCATTTTACGGAAATAAAAAGTTATAAAGTAAAGCTTGCCGTTAATAAAGTTGCGTTGGGATAGTATTGCGGTTAAAGCGAAATTGGAAGCGTTGGTTTTTATAATTGCTTATAGCGTAAGGTTAAAATGCCGCAGGATGGGTAATAAGGTAAATGCTTGTTTTAAGGCTTTAAAAGCGGTTTGCATCTTTGCTATCCATATCCAATCCTTTTTTGGGAAAGCATTGGCTATCGTTAAAGGTTTAACGATCTTGGAAAATCCGGCAATAAAGCGTCGGTAAAAATTAGCAAACCCAATTAGCGATTAGCACTTTTTTAATTATTTAAACGCTTTTTAATTAAGGATCGCGTTTATTTTGTTTTGGGATATTCGGATTCCTTTCGGGCCGATAACGTATCCTAAAAATTCGACTTTTTGGGCTCCCCAAACGCATTTGCGGGGGTTAACGGCAAGGTTATATTTAATAAAGCGCTTTAATATTTCCCTAACAAAGTCGTTATATTTTTCCTTTATTTTTGCGTAAATAAAAAGGTCGTCGAAATAAATTAAAAAGCTAGCGTTAATAAAGTCCAAAAATATATAATTTATTATTCGTTAAAAAGTGGTTGGTATATTAATAAAGCTTATAGGCATAACGGTAAATTTAAAAAAGCTATATTTGCAACGGAACGTTATTTTTTATTCGTGCTTTGGTTTTATTCGGATTAAATAAAAGCCGGTTTTAAAATTAATTTTGGTTATTTATTTAGCGTTACGAAAACGGTTTTAAAATTTTGTTATTAACGGGATCGGGCATTATTCCGGGATTGTTTTGCCGTTAACATTGCGGTAATCGATAATTGGGCGTAACGGATCCTTTGGGTTTTTTTTTTCGGCGAATATTAGCAATGTTCCAACCGTTTTTTTTTTTTCGTACATTCGTTCCATTTCGAAGTTTTTGGTAAGTTATGGTTTTAAAACGTTAAGTTTTTTTTCGTTAAAATTATATATAAGCTTTTAATTAAAAGTAGCTTTTTTTTTAAGTATATTTTGTGGTTTTAAAGCTAATAATTTGGTAAGCGCATAATTACTTTTAAGGATATAATTAAAAAAAACTTGCGGAATTTTTTTAAAACATTGTTAAATTTTTTGGTATTGTTAAGCAAAGATTTTGTTAATATTAGTTTTTTAATTAAAGCAACGGTAGCTAGGTTTGTATTGCAAATATTCGCCGGGTTGCGAAAGTTGGAAATTTCGCGGGACCGGGGCTTGCGGTACGATTTGCATTTGTTCGTATTAAACCGAATGTTTTCGTAATCCCGTTTAAAAATTCCAGTAAGGTAATAGCGGGTTATCCATTAAACGGGTAATAAAACGTTGCAATTCGGATTTAAGTTTAACATATCGAGGTTTACGCGAAAGCGGTAATTATAATGTTATAAAATAATTTGGGGTATGTAATAAATTAACGGGTTCTTTTTTTATTTTGTATAGTTAAATATGGGTTTGGGAACCGTTCGTTTGGTAATATGTAATTATAATTTGGCGGTTATTTAAGTAAAAATAAAAAACCCGTTATCGTTGCCGCAGTTTAGGAAAATTTTAATCGTAATTTTTTTTTGCCTTTTAATTTGCAAGGCCATATTTAATATAAGCTTCGTAACCACCCGGGTCGATCCCGTTATTCGGGCTTGCAAAAAGGCGCAAATAACGGTTTAGGTAGCGTTATTGCTTTCTTAGGGCCTTTCGGGTATTGTTATCGAAACCTTTAATTTTTAGCAATTAAAGTCCGTATCGACTTTTTCGAAATATTAATTATAATTTGGTTTAAAAGCGTGCTTGGTTATTCCGGCTATTTTAACCTTTTTGCTAGGGCGCTTTTTGGCTTTTTTTTTTATTAGTAAGGGTTTAATAACGGGCTTTTTGGTACCGGCGGTTATTTTTGCAAAAAGCGGGAAAAATTTAATGCTTGCGGTATCTTTTTTGGCAAAGCATTCCCGGGTATAATGGTTATTTCGCCCGCATCGCCAGCAATTAATACCGTCCTTTTTTCGGGTATTAATGTTTTTTTGGTTAACGCTATTAAAAGCGCCCCGGGTAATGGTTTAAACGTTGTTTTTGCGGGTTTGGCCGGGGTTCGTTCCTTTATTTGTTGCGGTACGGGAATTTAAAAATAAACCGGGGGTTTTTTTAAAGCTTTTATTGCGGGGACGGCCCGCGTTCGAACGCTTCGAAGTTAAAGCGGGCTCGCCTTTTCCCTTTTTTTAGGCCTTTGGTTTTTGTAATGCTTTTGGAATGTATTTTTATCCGCCGCTATAAGCTTGTAAGTAATGCCGGCTTTTTGGAAGGATTTTAAGAATTTTTCGTCCACGTTAGGAATGCGCCTTTTATTGGCGTAAACGAACCGGTTTATTTTATTCGGAAATTTTTTTTAACGAAATTTTTAAAGCGGGTGCCGGTTAATTTAACGATTGCATTAAATTGGGTTAATTTTATAAAAAACCTAACGACGTCGTTTTTGTATTCGAGGTTATTTAATTTAATAAAATCCGTACGTTTTTCGTTAAAATCGTAAAACGTGTTGGCCAAAAACCCAAAGTAAGCGTTTTAGGTATCGGGGAGTCCGTAAGCTTTTAGCATCCGTGCTTTCTTTATATGGACGCGTAATGCGGCTTTTTTAAAATAGGAACTTACCCAAAAAATTTTATAATTATTATTCGTAAAAATTTAGGGAACGGCGCTTATAAAAGCCCGTACCAGGTATTACCAATTTTTAAATTCCGTTTTTTTTTCGTTAAAAACGGGGGGTAATTTAAATAAAACGGGGTTAATTATAAAAACCGTTCCGTAC